AAGATATGATGTGCATATGTACATGTAACTTCTCAAGAAGGGATAGAGAAGAGAAATTTTTATCCGTCACTTGATCTGAATACGGAAAGAAGGATTGTCAACGAATGTCGACTGATGACTGACCCGCCGCTAAGATAAAGACGATATTGGGAGAGAATAGGAAGAGGGGGATTGTAGGCAGACAAGTGCTGTGATTGAAATAACTGCATAAATGATGTCATTGTGGGGACACCGCAAACGTCTCATTTAATTCTGTTCTATCCTCTGGTTTGCCTATCGTGATCGAGCGGATGCGTTGAATATGTGCATCGACTATAATCACATAAATATGTATTTCTAAGAGGAGAATGCTTTGGAGAATGCTACACGGGACATATACGACTTTACTTTAAGCTGGCTAGCTTTCTTGAGTTGGTGTAGTATAATTCAAACACCTCAAATAAATGCACACAATCACTTGCGCACAAAAAGACTCATTTCCAAATGGATATAACAGGAACTAGAGCAGAACGAAATGAATGAATACAAATCTTCAGAAATTGTAGCAATCCCTCCACGTGTATGAAGGTTCAATGAATGAGCACTGAGGATTTTGTATACGAATAACTTGTTCGTCTTTACAATCTCAGTGCCTCAAATAACTTATTCAGATGAAACCAGCAACAACTAATTTCATGCATTATCGACTTTTTGAAAGGTCCACTAAGACTGTTTGACATGTTTCCTTATCAAATCTAATTTGCTCATACTGATAGCACTATCATCACTGAAAATGACAGTTTGTGTAGCTGTAGTATCACTAAATGACGAAATATTTGTTCAAACTATTCAAATGACATTTCCAGAGAAGTACTGTAAAATTTTATTGATTTTCGCCGCTTTCTACGATAAAATACGCCGTTCTCTTTGAAAGCTAACGAGTAAACACATGAGAGAGCAGTTAGCTGATTAGACATACTACTTATTGATCAGAATACACAAGCTAACCCAGCTAGAAATGATGGATAATCATCTCTTCATGTTCAGTCGTCTTCATGCGGAAGTCTTTTATAGGTTCTACGTGCTTTAGGCCAAACCGATTTGGTCATGGAGATAGATATTGACTGTGAGAGTCGTTTGTGTGGAATGAATTCATGCAGTTACATGTGAACAAAGAATATGTATCGTGAAATANTTTGTTGATATAAAAAATTTCTTGCATGTGAGCGCATGCTCGTCACGATCGTTTTTACATTTTCGGAATTCGGGAGGAATTTCCCTGAACATCGATGATGTGTGCAGTTGGCAAATCGCAATTTTATGTCATTTTCCAATTGTGAGACAAATGATCTTTCGAACGATACGAAGACGAAACAATCGACGAATACAAAAACTTTATTTTCACCATTTACATTAAGATGAAAATCATAAGTAAAAGATAGAAATAAAGAACATGCATGCGCAATGAAATGGTAATGATGCTCACCTTGCAATCGTTATGTCGTTTGCCGAGTCGTAAATGAGGATTTTTGAAGTGTTCAAAGAGACGAATCGCATGAATGTCACTTTCATGCGTTTCAGCAATACGGAGGTAATACTTCCAATTGGCAGAATCAAAACCCCAATGGCAAACACGCCGAATTTCTTTCAACGAATGTGTATGAGCAACAAACTTCTCTCCACTAAACATATATTTGCATTCCGAGCATTCAATGCACTCATCACCATCAATCGATCCTAACAGCAAACCGCTACAGCCACCGAAGCAATCATGGCATATTGGTACCGCATCGTCTCGACAAACCTTCTTCCGTAGAGGTCCTGACGTACGCGGAAGTAACTTTGCTACCAGCCGTTCAGCATCACTTTTTGTCACTAGGCCACAACTATCTGCAGTCATCGGCATTACACCGGCCAATTTCAATGTGTCCAATTGTTGTTGACTAGCAACAGATATATGAATATTCAAATCAACGAATAAATCGTTGACATCGTCAACTTTCACATCTTGCAGTACGACGGAAATAATTTGCGGAAAGCACAGACGACATTCTCCACCGATTACGAAACACGATATTAGATGACCATCAAGCACGGTACTTTTCAGCGATGATGAAGAATTATCAGATGGTACTAGCAAGGGACTTGGTTGGACAGGTAAGACACCCTTCAGTCGGGATGATAGCTCCTCAAGGAGAACATCCTCACCGTGACAGATAGTTGGATTAATATCTCGTCTCATGGCCGAAACAGCCATTGCTTGCTGTTATTGCTGCTATAAACTGTCGATTTATCAATGTTGTTGTTCTGATGAGGATCTTTGCTTATGATTTCATACGAATAAATAGCTGGATGTTGGTTACCTTATAAAATAATTGTTGATAATGATTATATTGACAAAATTCATTTGTTCACCTTTAGCGAACGCCACACAAATAACACCACACAACCAATCTAACCAGAGTGATCCAAACACCTAATAACAAACCCTTACAACTTCATAACGCAGCACACGCCGCACGCTTCTCCACGAACGCACATCCATCGTCAGCGCTCCTACTAGCGCCAATCGCAATTCGAGTTTCTCCGATTGACCACGCCTATTCCAGTTGCGGCACAGTCCGTGAAGTGTCTAGACGGCAGAAATAGTGTGGCGACTAGTAGAGATGACTAGACGACTAGACTGCTAAAAAGCGTTGCAAAAAAA